GGATAAAATTTATATCAAAATGGAGCTGGTAGTGTTTTGGGCACAACTCTATTAATGAGAAAGAGCTGTTAGCTTAGTAAATTGTTGTGAAATTTTCGAAAGAGCTGTTGGATAGTTATAGCGAAGTAGCTATATATATAGAGATCCGGGAAGTATAAAACTAGGCTATCCTAAAGCAAAATTTTGTGTAGAACAATTTTGCTTAGTAGCCTAAAGGTTGTTTACTCAATAAAATATTTAGTTATAGCAAAATGTTTTTAGGAAGTTTTGGTACAAGTGATCTATGGTAAGAGTTGCTTTATTAACTAGTTTTACTTTTTTAATTAACATTAAAGATTAATTTTATTTATAGAATATAATATGAATGATACCAAAAAAAACAGATTTCAATAATGATTAAAGCTTGTTTTCTTTGGCATTATTTATATTATTAATAATTTACTAACTATCTTTGAATAGCTTTAAAATATCTATTATATGTTTAATTTTATCCTATTCACTTTTATTAAGACTATACTGTTGCAAATCCAGTTCAGCTAAAGAGACAGTGTCTAATACTATTTGCAATATTAATGCTCGATCACATATCTTAAAGGTAGAATTCCACCTAGTAATAATATCAAGAATAGGCTTTAATTGACTTATACTATGAATTTGATATATTAGTTTAAATCTTTCACAATGTTTTGGTAATTCTCTAATACTTTTAATCAATAAGTATAGCTAATTAAATAATAAATAAAAGAAGTAAGATTCTTTAAACTTGAACTAACCAATAAAATAAATAAAAATTAAATTAAAATCAATAAATAATAACATTCCTTAAACTTAAATTAACTAATAAGTTAAATTAAAATCAATAAATAACAATATTCTTTAAACTTAAATTAACTAATAAGTTAAATTAAAATCAATAAATAATAATATTTTTTAAACTTAAATTAATTAATAAGTTAAATTAAATAAATAAATAAGTTTTCCATTAATTTTATATTAGTTTTTAGATTTTTTAGCAAATGAATATAGTAATAATATTTTCAGACTCCCTCTAAAAAAAAAATAAAATAAAATAAAATTCAAATCTGATTCTTTAAACTCAATTCAATAACAAAAAAAAATTAAAATTTCAAATTTGACCTAATAATAATATATCTTTTTTAAAAAAAAACTTCAGTTGACTTGATAATAATAATTTTAAACAAAATATAGAATACTAACTCTTTCTAGCTCATTTTTTATAATATTTAATATACTTTGCATAGCAAGATTTAAAATATAACCAAAACATCATATAAATTGTTATATACTATTAAATTAAATACTAATTCAGAATAAAGAATCTTCAAACTTATCTAAAAACCTATTATTAGATTTTATATTATCTCATAATTGTAACTACTTTTGTATTAATTCCTATTCTATTGAATATATTTCTATTGCTTGTAAAATAGTAATACCTGTATATGAGCTCTTTATATTAACAAAGTTTAGTAAAATATTTTTGAGTTTTTATAATTCATTTAAGTAGTGAATAGTTATTGCTAAAAATGACTTGTCATAACTATTAGCAGTCCATATATCAGTTGTTACTGCTATACTTCTGAGAATTTTTTGTAACTTTTCTTAAAGTTTTATACAATCTTCTTCAAAATCACAAAAAATATATCTTTGTATTGTATTAGCTAATATTACTATTAAAGAAAAAGAAAGGAAAATTAAAATTTATAAAATCAAATAATAACTATAGGTATTCTCAAGTATCTCAATAGATTTAATAAAGAATCTAATTAGTTTGTCAGACTAGCCTAGTCTGACAAACTAATTAGATTCTTTATTGAATCTATTAAGAGGCTTGAACTAAGTATTATACTAAATATTATACCTATTACTTGTGGTTCTAAATATTCAAATATCAATTTAAATTTATTGTTTTCAATTATTTAAAATAGTTGATTATATTTACAATCTTGTACTTAATAAAATTATTAAATTTATTTTTATCAAAAGTTCAAAAGGATTATTATTAGCATAATACATTAAATATAATTATACCTTAAATAATATGAGTATTTCTTCCTGAACTATATATCAAAAAGCTTATACTTTTTTTATTATATAATATATTAATAACAGAAATACTATTTTTTTTTATATTTAATACTTTTAATTTAGAAATTTGGTTTCTATATCTATTAAGGTGCTTTTTAAGATTTGATATTGTTCTATTTTAGTACATTAATTTTTATTACAGAAGTTACATATCACATAATCTTGTTCTTTTTTGAAATATTTTCATACAAAAGATCTATAACATAATATAACTAGTTAATAAAATATATTAAATAATTATATAATAATTTAGTTTAATAATTTAATTTAAAATATATTAAGTATTCTTAACAAAAATCTTTTAAATCTTATTTTAAAATTGCATATAAGTACTATCAAATTAAAGCATAAAACTAAATATATAAGTATAAAGCTTATATATCTAGTTCTAGAATTTAATTTAGTAGTATTCATAACTATAGCTTATATAATTTAAATTTGTCATATCATAATAAGGTCATATAAAATAATTTTTTTGGTTTTCATAACTTAAAATTTTTAAACAAACCTGGTAACCTAGTCTTTTATTTTGAAATTTATATATTAGATATAAAATTATATAAAAATTTTTTTAATTTTTTTAAAAAAATCTACTCAGTTATTATAACATATAAAAAAAAGTTTCAAAAGTTTGAAAATTTCAATCTAGCTAGATTATGTAAACTAAGAAATTTTTTTATATAGCCTAATAGTATAATAGGTATATTAAGTTTGGTATTACAATATATTTTAAAATTACAATTTTTATCTGATATATACAGATTTGCTACTACTAACTTTTGTTTGAAATAATTCACTAGTTTTAGATTCAAGAGATATTAGTTTATTATTATCAAGTTCTTCAAAAAGATGTATTTGTTTATCTTTAGGTTTCTTATATAAAGGTATTAGTTCTTCTTCTTCAAGTTCTTCATAAGAGAATATAGACAAAGTCAATAAAGTTAACATTGTGAATATTAGATTTGTAAAAGATATTAATAATATTTTTTTTTTCTTATAATTAAAATTAACTAATCAGAATATATTATTTGTAATAATTATATTATAACAGATCTACTAGATATTTCAGATCAGTTTCCTATATAAATCTAGATTTATTGAATTTTAAAAATTATAGATCTGATCTGGGTCTAGTAACTAAATTCAGATCAGATCTGAATTCTCAGATCAGATTTGTAGAATACTAAGCTCAATTCACTAACCCTCTTATGATAGAATCAGATAGATATATCTTGAATTTAACTGATTATAGTTCCAAAAAGACCAACTAAATAAAGCATTATTTCAAACTTCTATACTAATCATTCTATTTTACAAAATAGCTAACTTAGCTGAATAAGAATTTATTAAACAAAACAAAACTACAACTAGTATTAAAAGACATACTTACTAATTCTATATCTATCTTAAAGTTTTTCTTATAGCTACAGCTATTAATGAAAGAATATCTATTCTTAATCACTACTAAGCAATCCAAAAAAATCACTTCTAAACCTACAAATATATATCATTTTACTAGAATTTTAATATATTTCTATTTATTCTAACAACTAAAACTCTCTATTATACAGATTTCTACTGAGTATAGAAACTAATTTTACTCTTAAGCAAAAAAAATCATCTTTGAAAAATTTAATATCTAATTTAATACTACTACTATTAATAATAAAATTCTATTTAATTTCTAGCTATAAGGCTAGTATGACAGATCACACCTGAGCACTCTAGTAGTAGCTAGGTGATGTCAAGCTTAGAAAATTAAGTAGATTAGATAATCATATGTAACTTGGCTACGGCTATAATTAACAACTTAATAAAGTTTTATGACATAACTGTCAAAGAAAAAAAAAATAAAAAAATAAAATAAAATTCTATTTAATATATCACTTTTATTCTTAACTAAAAACAAAAATATCAAACAAGCTTATGCTGATAAACTCAATTTAAATATCAATATAACAACATCTTATACTTCTTTTCAATAAACTCTTTTTTAGATAATATTAATACAACTACTACTTCTAGAATAATTATTTTCTCTACTTATTGTAGACTATTTCTAGAGGAGAATATATAAATAAACAAGTCTATTTATATAAAAAACTAATTTTATGATTATCAGGCTTAATATACAAAACAGATTTTAAACTCTTATAAACTATAAAAACTAGATATATAGTGAATACTTTAACAGAAGTAACTCCTTACTCTTTAGCTTTTAATACTTTATCTCATGCTGAAGAAAATATCTGTTTTAATCTTTTTCTACTAAAAAATAATTTATCTTTATGAATTTATAATGAAACTCTTAGTTCTTTTCTTAATTACTTACAAAACCTCTCTTTTCTACAACTCTTAAAAATTTCAATTAACTAACATCAAATAGAATCTCACATATATACTAATACTAATAATTCTTTATTACTAAATCATATAATTATAATACTAGAAAAATTTTACAAATTCTACAATCTACTAATTCAACAATACTTAAAACACTATATATTGATTCTAATATTTTCTTATAACAAAACTATTCTTCTAATTATACAATTTATGAAACTCTAACTACTCTACTTCTAAGCAATGAAATACAAGCCCAATCTTTAAAAATTTACTCACATAATACTAATAGTCTACTTAAAAATTACAAACAACTAAGCTTAATTGATTATATCACAGAAAATTAAATTAACATATTTGGTATTTCTAAAATCTACCTCAACCTAAAAGAAGCAAAATTCTCAACATCATCAAAAAATCTTACTAACTACAAAAAATTCTGAACTCTTTGTGACTAAAGATTGGAATTGAATTTATTTTTTTAATTCAAATTTTATAAATATAAATTTAAATTAATTTGAATGAATTTAAAAAATTCAAATTTGTAAATTTATTTTAATTTATACATATTTTGTATATACTTTTTATTTTATTTTTTTATTATTAAGGTAGCTTACATTGCTGAAGGAATTTTATTAGAATTGTATATGGGATATACATTGATAGTCCCTACTTTTGTAATTATATAAAAAATGTACAACAAGCTACATGTACAACTTTAGTCATTATCTAATTTAAGTAGTTCATCACACAGGCGATTAGACTATCTGATTGGTTCTACACTATGTTGCCATACTAGTAACCTGCCTGTAAGTTACCTATTTAAACACTCTATTCATTAATCTATACAGATCTAACCTAACATCATCGCAACACCTAACTGCTTAAGCTAGCTAGCTCATTATGATCTATTAATTCAGAATAGCTTAGATCCTCTCGAGATACATTGTACCTAACTCATTGTAGATATCGCAAAGCTGATTAATCTCGAAGCATACCTACTAGAGTAGTCAGTATCTATTTTACGAATTCATCTAGCTTAGATTCTTGTAGATGTTTATACAACTCCAGTTCCTACTGTGACTCTCCACTAGTTTTCTGTATTCTATAATCTTAGATGTTTCACAAGGCAAATCCTCCTAATCTAGTTAGTCACCAAGCCAGGTTAGTGTTACTGATCCTCCCTGTAGACTGGATTTATGCATACCTGACTAGATCTGCATCTTTTGATAATAGTTTCCTTTCTGGATCAAGTATTAGCTGGTGTGACTGTCAAAGGCTATACTACTTTACCAACTCAGGATTTCTACTATGCAGATCCCCTGCTCATAGATCTATCAAGATTTATTTGTATAACATTACATCTTGCCATATACCTCGTCATATTTCCAATATCTGAATGATATTAGTGCAACATGATTTACAGAGTTACAACCTCAGAAATAGACAGGGTTTACTATAAGTTGAGTATAAAAGTCTGAGTAATTATTCAAATTCGTCAATAGTGGGATTTGAACCCTAGACTTTTTGCATAGCAGTCTAGCAACCTAACTACTACACTAAGATCACTAGATATTTGTATATACTTTTTATATAATCATATATAATTATATATAAATATGCATAATTATATATAATTATATATAAATAGGACTTAATTAGGTATTACAACCTTACAATATGCTTATATATCACATATTAATAATTGACCAATCAAATTTTTATATCAGATGTAATATAGCATAATTAGGAAGATTCAAACAAATATTTATTTTGACAAAAGTCACTTATAACTCAAAATTTCACATATGAAACTATCTTTTGTACTCTAACAAAAAAAAATTCTTTGAAAATTTTTACTATAAATCTTTTCTGCTTATTGCATCTAATCATACATAACCCTAACTCTAACTAAACAAAAAACTAGTTTATTTTAGTTGTTAAATTATAATTTGTAAATATATGCAATGTATAAATATATCAAAGTATGCGACATATATATTTGTCCATATAAATATATATAATTATATATAATTATATATAATTATGCATGATTATGCATGACTATATAAGGAGTTTATACAAAATATATATGAATTAAAATGAATTTACAAATTCAAATTTTTTAAATTCATTTGAATTAATTCAAATTTATATTTATATAAATTTATTTGAATATTCAATGAATAGAATATTTGATTTTAATCTCTACTTGTAACTATGGACAAGATAGTATAGAAATTATAATACATAATTAACTAGTAAAACATATAAAGAAAATTTAAACTTTTAAAAACTTCCTTATTTAAATAAATCTCTATTTTAAAAATAAACACATCAAATTTATCTAAATTTATTTTCTAACTCAAGAAAAAAATAACAATACAAAAAAATACTTATATATTTTACTCTAATTCTAAATACAACAAATCTTAAAATCATAATTATAGATGATCTAAATAGTACTCCAAATTTCAAAATAGACAGACTACTACTAAAAAAATATAATTCTCTCAAAAACCAACTACTCAAAGTCTTTAAATATTATAATTTCTATGATACTTTTTATCTATTCTATTCTTCTTCTCTAAAATATATATATATATATAATAATAGTTCTAGCTATATTAATTAAATATAGACCAATATCTATATAACTCTTCTTGATTATACTAATATTCTTCTTAACTTTTTTACTACTTCTAATTACTTAATTACTAGCTTAGAAACAACAATCTTAATCAACTAATCTACTAATATAAAAAACTACTCAAGAATCTCTTTTAAATAGAACTTAGCTCAAACTAACTAAATTAAAAAATATTAATACTATACTGAACAAAATCTTATCTGTTTACTAACTCCTATTACAGAAATTTCAGATACTAATAACCTAAACAATATATAGAATCAAATTAAAAAAACAATTAGCAAAGCTATTCTAAAATATATTCTATACAAAAAAATTAAATCTAATTCAAATCTATAAGATTACTTTAAACCTAATCTACTACTTCTCTATATCTAACTCAAAAATATTATTTCTATAAAAAATCTTACAATATCTATAGATATCTCATAGCCATATAACTTCTATATAAAAAAATATTCAAACAATACTCTTCTTCTATTATCATATCAAAACTTCTTAGAAGCAAATCTAAATTTAAATATAATCTCAATACTCCTAAAAAGTAAAATCAAAAATCTAAAAACCCTTATACAAAAGAAAAAAAAAGACCAAAGCCTACTTGAAATTTAAAACAAATTATAACAAAGAAACAATAATTTTACTCAAAACTCTAAACTTTTCTTTCACAAAACTCTTGATAAATCAAATAATAATATTAATTTAGACTGCCTTTTTACAAATAATAATTTAACTACACAACTAACTAAAATCAAATCAGTTCTTAATAATCACTTTCAAAAATACTTTTATTAACTTCTATATATTACTATTAATACTAACTCACTTTTCTATGACCTCTATAAACTATATTCAGAAAATAAATATCTCTTCCAAAATCTCTTCTCAAAAATTATATCGAATAAATAGTTAAAAATAATAAAAGACTACTCAAATAATAAAACTACAGGCTTAT